TCACATTCTAAATTCTGATTCAACTATAAACATTGATACTAATCCTGTTATCCTGGTAAAGGTTTTCTTATTGTTTATTTGTTTATTAATTGTTCTTACTGTTATAATATTTAATGAAGTGTCGCGACTTAATTATGTGAATTAATTGCTAACTATTTATGAGATTGTATAGGATGACAATTAAGTAATAATGCAATTGAATTTATTATTAAACAAGTTAACGAGCATGCTGAAGTCGTGACTTTTTTTTTTTTTATGTTTTAATTCTATTATGTTTGCATTGTGGTAATATACTTATGTAGTTATGTATTAGTTTTGTATTAGGTATATTTCTTAAATTATTTAGAAATACTTATTAGAATTTTTTGAAAACATTCATGTATGTTTTAAAAGACTATTCATTATTTCTTGAAAACCCCTCTTAACAACATAACATAATAGCAATTGTTTTTTCAAATACATATACTACACAATTGTTACATTATTATGCCTTTTAAATTAAATACAAAATTTATCACATAATTACAAATCTGCGTAATTAACCAAACAAATGCACCTTGACGTCCATTATTTAGAATCAAGGAAAACAACTATTTAACATAAACAATAGAATATGAAACAAAAACTAACTAAACAAGTAGTTAGAAAAAAAAAAACAAAAACAAACAAAAAAAAAAAACAAAAACAAAAACAAAAACAAAAAAAAAACAAAAAAAATTAACTTGAAAAATATGCATAGATTTTATTAATGACAAATTATCTTGTTATACCGTATATGCCGCATATATGTATGGTGCTTGAGAGAGAAACTAGTAGGTAAGTTAATAGGGTTTAATTTGAATGTGAGTCAACAATATAGGGAAGACATAATTTGAAATAAGAGAAAACTGGAGAAGTTGAGAAAATACAGAAGTTTATAACTTAACCTGTAAGATTAATTTAAGTGGGGGGGGGACAAATAATTTGAAAAAATAACAAAATTTTAAAATTCTATATAATATTTTTTAAAAAAATTTAACACATATATAATATTAAAAAAACAATTTGGGGAAGGGGGCCAAGGTCCCCCATGGAATACACATGCCTCTGCCACTGGTCAAACCTCATTTATGAGGTATAAATAATAATTTTTAATTTAAAATTTAATTAATTAAAACATTAAATTAAAAAAAAAATTAAAAAAAAAAAAAAGAAAAAGAAAAAAAAGAAAGAAAGATGAGCCCATCACCTTTACTGTTTTGTTTTGTTCTTTTTTTTAACATTAAATTAAAACCTCATTTACTGTTTTGTTTTTTTCTAATGCCTAATTATTTGTGCAATATTTTTTTTAAGTTCTTAGTTTCTGATGGGGATATTAGGTATGGGCTAGAGATCAATTGGGTTGACGTTGTTGGACCAGAGGGGTACGGGGTTTTTGGGCCGGGGCACGACGTAGTACCGCCAAGGTGGCCGGCAACCGCCCGGCGTCCGTGGCCGAAACGGACCGCCGGCTGGGGCCAGCGACGGTGCGCGCGCCTAACGCCCCCGTGCAGGGCCACGGGGGCAGCGGCCACCGGCGCCCACGGCCGGGGCGGATCGTTGGCTGGGGCGCGGCCCTGCACGAGGGCGGCAGCCGCCGGTGCCCACGGCCGGAGCGAATCGCTGGCGACGGTGCGTGGGCCTAGCGCCCCCATCGTGGGGCCGCGGCAGTGCGGTGCCGGGCGGGTGGGCCGCCCGGGGTGCGTGCCTGCGTGGGGTGCGTGTAGAAGGTGCGGGAGTTTCGGAGGTGTGGTGAACCTGCGGACTGGCGTGCGGAAAAGTGGAGAATGGCATCTAAGTACGTGGGACACGTGGGTGTCTGGAAGGGGAAGCGGGCAGGCTATAAATAAGGGCCCTGGATTCCTGGCAGATGGCGACACAGACACGACATGTACACTGGTCTAGTGGTCCTTGGTGTATAGTTTAAACCCAGTCACCTGGGTTTAATTCCTCTCAGTAACATATCTAGCTATAGTGCGCTCATTCCTTGGGCCGCGTTCTTTGTATTTGGGCTGCCATTCGGGGCTTGTACGTACTATTTTGGGCCTAGCGCCCCGGTAAATAAAGTCATTACTTTCCTACCCCGTTCTATGTTCCTATACCCGGTTTATGGTGGACCCGGCCCGTTCCCAATGAAACCATCATTTTTCATACATACTTTTTTTAAGTTTCTATTTTCAATACATCTTTTTTTTATTCAATACATGTTTTTTTTAAGTTTTTATTTTCAATACTTTTTTTTGTTTATGGTTTAATTTTTAAATAAAAAGAAATAATAATTAATTTTTTTATTTTAATATTCTTTATAACTCAAATTTGTTGTATACATTATTTTACCTTTTTATAAAAATATAATAAATTAAATTTAAATGGTTAAAATAATTGTAAAAACACATTAACATCACAATAAAAAAAATAAAAACAAATTGCATTCAATTTCAATCTAATATAACATTTTTCCGAGTACTCCCTCAACTTTCTCAATATGCTGAATTTACCAGTTCTTGATTATATTGTTTCTTGAACTTATCCTTAAACATATGAAGCTCATGCTCAACACCAAAATCCTCATTGGTTAAAGAGATGGAAGATGATAAGACTTTGGGTTAGAGTTCTATTAAAACTTTGAAATATTAATTGCTTTACTACCTATCTTTTTATATTGTAAATACAATAAATTGCTTAATTCACAACTATATTCACAACAAATTAAATTATTTTACAACTATATTCACTAAATTGATTAATACTATTATGTTTGCATTGTGGTAATATACTTATGTAGTTATGTATTAGTTTTGTATTAGGTATATTTCTTAAATTATTTAGAAATGCTTATTAGAATTTTTTTAAAACTTAACATATAAGTTTTAAATAGGCTCAAAGCAGGATTTACTTTAAAGCATTTTTAATTGCCGACATATTAAACATGCTTTTAAAAAGACTTCTAGCCAAGCCAAGCCATTTGTAGGCTCAGGCTTGAGCCTAACAATAAGCCTACATAGAAGCTCAGGCCTTAGATTTTCGTAACAGGCCCATACCTAATTTTCTAAAGTTCGGATCGCCTCGGCTTATTCTCATCCCTACCACCAATGATAAGGGACCTCTGTTATAATTAACTCATTGGGAAAACAATAAAAATTTGAAGAGACATCATAATGACCAAAAGTGTCCAAAACATAATAATCTAAGGTGTTAAATGATAAAAACAATAGTTTGATACTAAATTTGAAATTATCATAAAAAACAATGGACATCCGCTTAAATTAACTCTTTATTACAATATGAAATTATTAGTACATGGTTTTTTTCGATCCTACCTATTTATATTTATTATAAAAGTTGAAAATTTTCATATTAAAAACTAACAATCAATTCTATTTTACATTGAATAACTTACACATTAAAAAATTATATTAATTATCTATTTATTTTAATTTTTCGCATTGGACATTAGGTTAGTTACGCGCATATTATAACTACTGTCAATATTAGTGTATAGAAAGAGACGCTAATAATATTTTTGTTATTATAATAGATATATAGATACAAAAATATCATGATATCATATTTTTCCTTATATGCAAAAGCATTCTTATTTTAAAATGTTGCATTGATATCCTAGTTTTGTTTCAAAGTTTACTTTGGTGATATTTTAAACTTTTGTTTGTTATCATAAATAATAAATAGTTGTTTGAAAAACTCTTAATTTTACATTTGTTTCTAAATGTTTTCCAAACCCGTAAATATACCATAATCAAAACCACTTTAGGTCATCATTTAAATAGTAGCTAGGTCCATGTTTAGTATATGTTCATAACATACTTTGTAATATTATATTTGTGGATCTAATAAGTTTTTAACTACTTTGTATGAAGAGTTAAAACCATTTGGGTCTTCCAAGTAAAGTAGTTTTGTAATGTTTAGTCCTAAACTTTTAAATTAACCACTATGATCCTTTGACTTTTAAATTGCTATCATCGTGTGGTCCAAGTTAACCATACATATCTTTCAACTATCAAATTTTAATCACCCATTGTTCTTCAACTATTCGGAGCGCAGTTACAATAAAGCACTTATCCAAAGCGCAGCTACAATGGAACACTCATAAGGAGGGCAGGTACAACGGAACACTCATCCGGAGCGCTGCTAGAACGAAATACTCATATCCAGAGCGCGTCTACAACAGAACACTCATCTTGAGCATGGCTACAACATAACACTCATCCGGAGTTCTAATAAATGAAGGCAGATATGATAACGAGCTATATCAACGTATCCACCATGACATTGACTGCGGATAAACGGACAAGTTGAGTCTTCCAAAACAGATAATTTGAGGAAGTATGTTTAATGAAGATAAACGTGATAAGCTGTTTGTAGGGTATTTATCATTGCTATGATTGGATAGACAATATCGAAGATGATGCGATAATAGGAGGTGATGTCACTGGCAGGCGGCGGTAACCATAAATCGTTTGGTATACTATACCAGATGATGAGAACAATAGTTTTTAAAATAATTTTTTTATTGATCAATCCGGGATGATAATTCAAAGTCCATAATTATGAGATATATATTTAATGATACAAAGAATCCCAGTCAAGATAGGAATAATAAATGACAATATTCTTAACAATATTGGGAAATGAAGAATGAATTCTAGTGTGCAATATATATATAAACATCATAAGATTGATATCTATCTACGCACTACCGTGCTAGCTAGAGTTTGAGTTCCAATTAATTCCAGCCGCCTCTCCGACGTAGCCCACAACCGACAATTGCAGCACCGTCGAGGTACGTACGCAGTGCATTGCATAGTTTTTTTGTCGCAACGCAAATCCTTAGAAGCTTTTAAGTTACAAATAAAACCCTAATTAGCATTCTATTATTGATCGAATTTAATTTGCAGATAGACTATCAAGGACAACCTAAAAAAACCTAATTAACCCAGGAAACGTAACATTCAAGATCGAAGATGGACTACCCTTCAAAAAAATTGAAGAAGATGGACGACGCTACTTGCATATCTTCTCTCCCCCAAGAGATAATTCTCAAAATTCTCGCCTGTCTCCCTCCAAAATCTGCAGTCTCTTTCAGGTGCACTTCCAAATTCTTCCAAACTTTCATCCCTCAGCCGCACTTCAAGTTTAGAATGCTCTTCTGGTTCCCATTCACAAATCTGTACACTGTGGGCTTTACTACTGAAGAGAGCCATGGAAGGCTCCAACCCAGCAGTCTCCAATGCTCGGCAGATGAATTGCAGCGTTTTAAACAACTTATTGGTTCAAGCTTTGCAGATGGGAAGCTTTGTCTGATCAACAGATGGGGAGAGACCACTATCTTGGACCTTAGTACAAGACAATATATTTGTCTTCCCCTTGTCGAGCCAGGGGACCTGTGGACAAAAATGTATTTCGGTGCAGCCCTGGGTTTTGATCCGGTGTCGAAAAGGTACAAGGTTTTGAGGTCAGAATTATACCGTAATAATACTCACCCCTATTACCAGGGTATGTTGAAGGTTTTAACTCTTGGGGTGGATGAATCATGGAGGGCGGTGACTACAGATTACTCCTTCCTCGCTTGCCAGCCCATTGCTAGTGTTCAAATTGATGGTATTATCTATTTGAAGATGCATTGCAGGGATAAACAAGAAATAGTTGTATTTGATATTGAGACCGAGAATTTAATTAGGGTGATACCTTTTCCCTATATATTCCGTGTTATGCCGACGATGTATTATTCATCATGGGTGAAATTAAATGGTCGACTAGCTTATATTTATGTTGATGTAAAGAGAAGGACCCGAATATTTGTTTGTAATTTGGAGAAATCATTGGGACCGGGGTGGGACAAACATGAGATTCCTCTTACATTGGAAGAGGCTAAAATCATTAGACAAGCTGAATCTGTGAGCATTACAGCCAATAGTATTGGGGAAATTGTGTTCTTGATTCAAGCTAAGAATATGTCTCCTTCAATTTTAATTTATGCATGTGGACCACAAGTATGGAGAAAGTTTGAGATATGTGAACTTCCTGGTTATTCATCTTCTCAAAGTTGGAGAAGGATTAATACTGTGCATGTTATGGAAGAGAAAGTATATTTTTCTGAATGAATTAGAAGATGGATCTTTAAGCGAAAGCATATTTATTGAGTCATGAATGAATTAGAATATTTAGTTTATTTTGATAATCTGCCCATCTTGTATTACTTTTATCAAAACTAGTATTTTCACCCGTGCGATGCACGGAATGAAATTGTTGTAATATATTAAGAATATTTAAATCGATATATAATTATTTAAGAGTCAATTTCACCAGAGTTCGTTTATCTTTCCTGACAATTCCAAATTTAATCCTAGACTATAGTTATTAATTATTACAATTTATTCTATGTTACAACTCTTACGTTAATATTCTTACTATTATTATTAACACTTAATTACTTTTAGATATTATTATTACCACTTATATTATTATTATTATTATTATTATTATTATTATTATTATATTATTATTATTATTATTATTATTATTATTATTATTATTATTAGTTTCTTTTCAAGTACTGTTAGTATATAATGGTTGTGAGGCACAATAATAATATAACCATAATTAAATATTCTTGTATTGTATTCCGGAGTTAATGTCATTTTTGGTCCTATACTTATTGAGGCATTGACACTTTTCATCCTCCATAATAAAAATTGCCACTCAGTAGACACTGTTATTGGTCGTTGGACGATTTTGATCCTCCGTCAATGAAGTCATTTGTTGACCGTGAATTAGAAGGGCTTTTCTGTCTTTTTATGTCTTATTCTTCTAATCTTGTTTAGACCAGCGCTGCTGTGACTCCTGTGAGGCGAGATGGCGAGACTTGGCGGCTAAGTAGTAACCGTCGGTAGTGAGTAGCAGCGAGGTTCTTCTCCGGCGAGTTGTGGGTACGACGGCGAGCATACGAGGCAGTAACTCCTTCCTGCGACGGACCAGTAAGGCAGATCTGGCGGTGCAGCAACAGATCCGGCGAGGTTGGGGCCTTCACCGGTGGTTTTTGGTTCCGGCGAAGCAGAGAGGGCAGCAGGTCGGCGAACCCTCCTATGGTAAATAGCAGTTGTAGTTGTAGATGGCGTGATGTAGAATTTGCACCTGTAAGTCCTCCCTTCCATATTGACCACAAATATCCTTCCCACTTCTCTCTCTCTCTCTCTCTCTCTGACCACAACTACTTGGTGCACAACCTCAAAAACTCTGTTATTCTACCTGAAATTCATTGAAGTTTCAAGCTGAAAATGTGGAATCCGCCGCTCCCCAAAAATTGCATTGTCTGAGGTGTTGGAATGGCCGGTGTTGACTTCCTGGCTGTTGTAGCTTCATTCCCCAACCCGGATGATAAAATTCGGAGCACCAGCTTTGAGGTTCAAGGAGGTGGTAACACTGGCAATGCTTTGATAAAACCCGGATGATAAAATTCGTCTTGGTCTTAATCCAAGGATCATATCTAAGGTTGCTGATGACTCGCATGGCGAAAGAATACTTGATGAGCTTGAAAGGGATGGTGTTGATACATCTTTTATGGTGGTGTCCAAAGGAGGAAACTCACCATTCACATATGTCATTGTTGACAACCAAAGAAAAAAAAAAAAAACTCGCACGTGCATTTTCACTCCAGGATATCCACCCATGATATCTGAGGGTCTACATACCTAAATCAAAATTGTCTTCAGCGCTTGGAGTAAATATTGTCTACTTAGATGGAAGGCTGCATGAGACTGCTTTGATTGTAGTGCAGGAGGCAAAGAGTATGGGCATACCTATTATAGTTGATGCATAAAGGTTAAGGGAGGGGTTGGGTGATATTCCTGACTTTGCTAGTTATGTTGTATGCTCGACAAAATTTCCACAGGCATGGACTAACGCCCTTTCTATTCCAACTGCACTTGTTTCCATTATCTTGAGATTGATGTCAAATGTAAAATTCGTGATTGTTAGTTGGGTGAAGATGGTTTCTTAATGTTAGAAAGTACTGAAGCGGATAACCTCAGTTTGAAGAAATGGATGTAGCAGTGGCCAATGGATGGAGAAATACAAGGATTAGAACATAAAAAGACAGAAAAACCCTTCTAATACACGGTCAACAAACGGCGTCATTGACGGGGGATCAAAACTGTCCAACGATCAATAACAGTGGCTACTAAGTGGCAATTTTTATTGTGGAGGATGAAAAGTGTCAATGCCCCAATAAGTCTAGGACCAAAAATGGCATTAACGTAACTCTTGTATTCCGTGAGTCACAATAATAATATAACAATAATTAAATATTGTTCAATTCTATATTCTTCTAGAATTTCTATTACCATCATTAATTATTTCAAAATTTACCATAATTAAATAATTTGACCAATTATAAAGAAAGATTATTAAATAATGCACGGGACAATTGTTTAATTAAAATTTTTAAAAATTCAATAATAAAACATAAGGTTCTCATAGTTTTTTCTTAGAAACTCTTTAATAAAGTATTTTTTTTAAGAAATTGGTGGGCTAAACCGCCTACGGCAGTTTGCGGTGGATAGATCTCGAAAAAATACGCGATTTCAAAAAAATATTTGTCCAAAACGGACAACTGAGTCAAAAGTTATGCCTTGTCGAACTTTTGAAACTTTACAACTTAAAAAAAAAAAAAAAAAAAAAAAAAAAAAAATTAAAGGCCGGTTCAGCCGGCGAGGCGGCCGCTGAGGAGGCCGATTCCGGCCTTCTTCGCCGTGGCCAGCGACACGATTATTGCAACACTGATATATAAAATAGATATAAATTAGAATAGGAATAGTATTACATAATTTTATAATATTACAATAAAATTTTAACCCAGAATTATTGTAGAAATCAATATATTTTATTAGGAAGAGAGATTTTTTGGAATTGAGCGGGAAGTTAAAATTTCAGGATTTTGTTTTAATATATAGTATAGATTGTATTACACTATTTTATAATATTATAAAAGAATTTTAACGCAGAATTATTGTACGAATGAGAAAGTAGAAATTAATATATTTTATTAGTAAGAGAGATTTTTTGGGAATAGGGCAGGAAGTTAAAATTTCAAGATTTTGTTTTTTTATATATAGTAGAGATTGTATTACACTATTTTATAATATTAGAATAGAATTTTAACGCAGAATTATTGTACGAATGGGAAAAATAGAAATCAATATATTTTATTAGGAATAGAGATTTTTTAGGAATTGGGCGGGAAGTTAAAATTTCAGGATTTTGTTTATAAAATATAGTATAGATTGTATTACACTATTTTATAATATTATAATAGAATTTTAAGGCATAATTATTGTACGAATGGGAAAAGTAGATTTAACATAATTAAATAATTTGACCAATTATAAAGAAAGATTATTAAATAATGCACGTGACAATTGTTTAATTAAAAATTTTAAAAATTCATTAATAAAACATAAGGTTCTCATAGTTTTTTCTTAGAAACTCTTTAATAAAGTATTTTTTTTTAAGAAATTGGTGGGCTAAACCGCCTACGGTAGTTTGCGGTGGATAGATCTCGAAAAAATACGCGATTTCAAAAAAACATTTGTCCAAAACGGACAACGGAGTCAAAAGTTATGCCTTGTCGAACTTTTGAAACTTTACAACTTAAAAAAAAAAAAAAAAAATTAAAGGCCGGTTCAGCCGGCGAGGCGGCCGCTGAGGAGGCCGATTCCGGCCTTCTTCGCCGTGGCCAGCGACACGATTATTGCAACACTGATATATAAAATAGATATAAATTAGAATAGGAATAGTATTACACAATTTTATAATATTACAATAAAATTTTAACCCAGAATTATTGTAGAAATCAATATATTCTATTAGGAAGAGAGATTTTTTGGAATTGGGCGGGAAGTTAAAATTTCAGGATTTTGTTTTAATATATAGTATAGATTGTATTACACTATTTTATAATATTATAAAAGAATTTTAACGCAGAATTATTGTACGAATGGGAAAGTAGAAATTAATATATTTTATTAGTAAGAGAGATTTTTTAGGAATAGGGCAGGAAGTTAAAATTTCAGGATTTTATTTTTATATATAGTATAGATTGTATTACACTATTTTATAATATTAGAATAGAATTTTAACGCAGAATTATTGTACGAATGGGAAAAATAGAAATCAATATATTTTATTAGGAATAGAGATTTTTTAGGAATTGGGCGGGAAGTTAAAATTTCAGGATTTTGTTTATATATATAGAATATATTGTATTACACTATTTTATAATATTATAATAGAATTTTAAGGCAGAATTATTGTACGAATGGGAAAAGTAGAAATCAATATATTTTATTAGGAAGAGAGATTTTTTAGGAATTGGGCGGGAAGTTAAAATTTCAGGATTTTGTTTTTATATATAGTATAGATATAGATTGTGTTACATTATTTTATAATATTTTAAAAGAATTTTAACGCAGAATTATTGTACGAATGTGAAAGTAGAAATCAATATATTTTATTAGGAAGAGAGATTTTTTAGGAATTGGGCGGGAAGTTAAAATTTCAGGATTTTGTTTTTATATATAGTATAGATTGTATTACACTATTTTATAATATTAGAATAGAATTTTAACGCAGAATTATTGTACGAATGGGAAAAATAGAAATCAATATATTTATTAGGAATAGAGGTTTTTTAGGAATTGGGCGGGAAGTTAAAATTTCAGGATTTTGTTTATATATATAGTATAGATTGTATTACACTATTTTATAATATTATAATAGAATTTTAACGCAGAATTATTATACGAATGGGAAAGTAGAAATCAATATATTTTATTAGGAAGAGAGATTTTTTAGGAATTGGGCGGGAAGTTAAAATTTCAGGATTTTGTTTTTATATATAGTATAGATTATAGATTATAGATTAGATGTGAAAAGAGAATTGTATTACACTATTTTATAATTTTAGAATAGAATTTTTACCCAGAATTATTGTACGAATGGGAAAGTAGAAATCAATATATTTTATTGGGAAGAGAGATTTTTTAGGAATTGGGCGGGAAGTTAAAATTTAAGGATTTTGTTTTTATATATATATTAGTATAGATTAGATGTGCAAAGAGAATTGTGTTACACTATTTTATAATTTTAGAATAGAATTTTTACCCAGAATTATTGTACGAATGTGAAAGTAGAAATCAATATATTTTATTGGGAAGAGAGATTTTTTAGGAATTGGGCGGGAAGTTAAAATTTAAGGATTTTGTTTATATATATATATATATATTAGTATAGATTAGATGTGCAAAGAGAATTGGGTTACACTATTTTATAATTTTAGAATAGAATTTTTACCCAGAATTATTGTACGAATTGGAAAGTAGAAATCAATATATTTTATTGGGAAAGAGAGATTTTTTAGGAATTGGGCGGGAAGTTAAAATTTCAGGATTTTGTTTTTATATATAGTATAGATGAATATAATTTATCTTAATTTTATATTATTGTTTTGTTGTTGTTTTTTTTTAATTTCCTTGCCAAATGAAAAGTTGTGAATCTTACCAGTACCATGAATCATTTAGCACATAATTTTTTTTTAATCATTTTCTTGTAACTCTGATGAATGTAAAATGAATTATGGAAATTAATTATCACCACTGTAAGATAAGGGAAGGGTATTAAATGAAATCTAACTAATGACCATACAGATTGCGGGTTACTCGCCTAGAGAGAGAACTGAGCATAAAGCCGAGGTGAGTCATTTTTTACTTTGGAAATCATTTGTTGAGTATCTAAACATACCTTTAATTGAAAAGACACACTAGCTAAGAACATTATAAGAGTCCTAAAACTATATTTTTAATATATGAATGCATATATTGGACCCGACTGCTTTCAAAAAAAAAGAATATATATTAGACCCAATTGAATAATGGAAAAATTGTAAAAAATGTTCATCTATAATATGCCAATTATCAATGTTATCCCTGAATTATGAGTGGGGTAAATGTTGCCCCACAATTATCAAAACGGTGCACATATAGCCCAAATTTGAAAGGCAGTCTCACTGAAAATAAATAATTAAAGACATGGCTTGTTTGGTAACATAATTAGTTTATTAATCAATTAGTCTTAGACGGGCATTGCGTGAATGAGTTAATGTCCAATGTTTATAATTAAATAAATATTTGAAAGTAGATCAATGCAATATTATATATGAGAAGTTCATACATAAGTAATTTAATGTCGAATTTGTTTATTTAAATATGTAACTCATAGTATATGAATACAAGATAATATAGGAGATTCATTATAATTTTTTGTAAACTTTTTTTAAATAGTAGCCAAGTATTTTTAATTTGTTGCAAAGGGTTCTAAAATATTTAATGAATGCACATATATACAAGATCAATGAATGAATCAACGGTACCAGTCCTTTAAGTGTTTTGGTCAGTGTTCATTTAGTTCAACCATTATTGTTGAATAAATTATTATGAATAAATAAATTCCTAATTTAAGAAATTTAGATGAAGTAGTAAAAATTTAAAATTTTTAATTATACTGTCACCCAAAGATATTAGACGATTGGTAAATATGTTGTAACCCAGAAATAAAAATGCTAAAGAAAGTGTTTGGTTATTCAACAATTTGAAGCAACAATTTGTTCCAAGCCACTGAAAATACAAACATTGCAATTTACAATATTTTCACTTAGCGTTTTTTAGAATGATTTCCCCAAAACACATCTATATCCATATTTAAAAAAAAAAAAATTATTGTAGAGCCATTTCGACTCCTTGAATAACAAGAGCCAGTTTCGCTGGCTCACCGCTTACCCATCAACGGATGGACAAGCTTAATTTTTAAATTGGAGTTTTAAGGCTCTTTTTATAGGAGCCTCAAGGCTCCCATGCCACTTAGGTAAGCTGAACGTCGGGCTCCTCATATGTTTTTATTTTTATTTTTTTTAATTTTATTTCTTTTATTAAATTATTATTTTTTTAAAACAATTATTATTATTATTATTATTATTATTATTATTATTATTATTATTATTATTATACACTTAGATAATTTTACATATTAATCTAAACAGCTAATTTTTTCAAATATCTTTTTACCAATCGTTGATATAAATTGCTGGTCAAATCCACTAACGCTAACTGCTGATGGCTAAACAAGGACATAGCGAGATAATTTTTCACTTCAATTTATTGTGATTTAAATACTCTCTTTGTCAATAAATTCCTCAAATAGTTAATATAATTGACTTAATTATATTTTTTAATTTTTTCATAATATTAACAAAATACTTGATAAATAAATATATTATAAATATTTTTTTCAAACTAGAAATGTCTACCATTTTGAAATCCGTCACTAATCCATTGGTAAAAAATGTCTCCCAACTTTTGGCACTATCTTTGCTGTCATCGCTATTTAGATTAAACCAGTTACTAAATTTATTAAATCATGTTATAATGTTGTATCTGTTTACATATATTTTTAAATTTTCTATTTGGAAGAGTCACAATCATATTGCTTAATCAGAAGATCATTGATAAAATTCTTCTCTTAATCTAAATCAATCAAAATGTAGCTGTCAGCATTAAATAAAATATGGATAGAATAAATGTAGTGTAATAGTTACTCGCTCTTTGAAAATGTGATCTTTGTTATGAAGTAAAAAGAAATGTGGAAGTCCAAGTTGAGTTTATAAGATGTAAAGATCAGACTTACTTTGATGATATGGGATGGCGGTTCACAGATAGGGATGTCAACGGGGCGGGGTGGGGGCGGGGGACCAGGGACGGATCCAGAAAACTTGAGTTGGGGGGGCCAATGTAGTAGAGAAAATTACAATGTTAGTCGACATTATAACTAATCGCACCATATTATTATATATACCATACATTATTGTGATTATTATTGATAATGATTTTTAATTATACTATGTGTAATAAAGTATGAAATACATAATTATATGAGTACGATCGATACATGTGTCGATCATTACTTTAGAATTTTTTTCACATAACACAAAATATAATAATAACAATAACAACATTTATTTAAATATAGAATGTCACTTAACATCAAATAAAAATTTTTGTCAATTACTTTGTTACCAAATTTGTTCATAATTAACTTATTTTCATTTTACTGGTTAACTGAATATTTCAAAAGTTAAAAGATAAAAGACAAAAATCAAGACGAATTAAATAATAAATATTAATTTTTATCAATTTCAAAACTAATCATTTAAACTAGCAAATGTACATTTTAAAAATGTAAATAAATAATTAAAACACACAATAAATCACTAATTAATTAATCAACATATATAACTAAAAAAAAACCAAAGCATATATCTCAAATTTGGAGATTTTTTTAGATTAAAATGTATACTTGATGCCATTCGTTATTAAAATCTTGATAAAAGAAGTAAGATAATAAAGAAAAATGATCACTTTAATTATTTGATTTATTTCTTTTTGTTTAATGAATTTGAACTTTAATATATATTTTGAGTTCATTTAATATAAACATAATATATATTTTTTTTAAAAAAAAAAAATTAGAAGGGGGGCCAAAGTGTATTTTATTCCTACTATATCAATATATACATACATATTTACTAAAAAATTTAAGGTAGGGATAAGGGTAGGGTGAGGGTGGGAGGGGCCAAGGCCCCCCTACCCCCTAATGTACCTCCGTCCCTGCGGGGGAAATACCCCCCATCCCCGTCCCCAACTTTCTTCCCATTCCCCGTCCCCATCCCCATCCCCGCCGGGGAATGAAAAATTCCCCCCATTCCCATCCCCACGGGGATTATTCGGGGACGGGGAATCCCCACCCCGTTAACAAGTTATAAAAAGAAATAAAAATTAAACATTAAAAAACATTTAAATAAATAACGCATATATATTCATCCCCAACTCAAAGTTGTATTCAATATTTTACAATTAAACATTTTATTTAAAAATATGCATGACATACAATGACAAGAATACTTCTAAAATTATATATATTGTATACAAAGTACTACATTTGTGTGTGTTGTGTGGAATATATATATATATATATATATATATATATATATATATATATATATATATATATCAGGGACGGGGCGGGGCGGGGAGAGTACTCCCCATCCCCGCCCCCGTCCCCGGCGGGGAATTCAAAATTGTCCCCATCCCCATCCCCTATCTCCTATTTCTGTCCCCATCCCCGTCCCCGTAGGGGTGGGGAATCGGGTTCCCCGTCGGGTGCGGGTTCAATTGACATCCCTATTCACAGATCTCAAAGTCAAAGGCTAATTACAAGTTCCAAGGAAAGCAGCTGCTGGGGATGAAACACGCCAGCTCTAAGAATGACAAGGCAACCCTATATCCTGATCAACTAACTAGATTAGCTTTATTTTTTCCAATCGATACGTGGTTCTCTCTCTAGGTAGTGCTTAGAGAGTTTTCTCCCTAGGTTGTCTAGGGTTTCTTTTCTCCACTATGGCAGTTGTTATCTCAGCATGGCAATCGTGGTCATTCCACGTTCTTATTTTGTCTTACATATTCACATGCAGTTTCCCAATCATTCACCACGAGAGTTTCAGAGCATACGAGAGTTTCAGATCATACGAAAATTTCAGATCATACGAGATTTTCAGATCATACGAGAGCTTCAGATCATACGAGAGGTACAGATCATCCGAGAATTTCCGATCACAATTTAGTGATCCGCATCAATATCTCCCATCCTCCCTTTGTTACGAGACCATGAATACCACCACGCTTGTGTCGGGCTGTGCTGCCTTGTCCCTGGCAGACGAGGAGATCGGCGGCCTGGAGGCCCCGGACGTTCTCGCACCTCCAACGGCGACCCCCCATTATGAGCTGATCGGACGATTCCTTACGGATCGGGCGATCAAATTTGATCATATGCAACAGGTTTTAGCGTCCGTTTGGCGACCAGTGATGGGAATGAAGGTGCTTCCGATCGCGGATGACCTCTTTTTATTTCAATTTCCTCATATTAAGGATTTGCAGCGAGTGCTGGACGATGGACCATGGTCCTTCGAAAACCACACATTGGTTTGTGACATGGTTCCGACCGGAACCAGACCGGAGGAGGTGTCGCTCAACACCATTGCAATATGGGTCCAGATCCATGATCTCCCCTCCATCTATGCATCAACGGAATTCATCGAACGCATAGGCAATTATGTTGGCGTTTTCCTGAAGGCCGATCCAAACAATTTTGGTGGGCTCTGGCGCAGTTTCTTCCGCATCAGAGTGCGTTTAGACGTGTCAGCCCCCCTGAAGAGACGGATGAAGATGTATCAAAAGGATGGCTCAACACAGTGGATAAGCTTCAAGTACGAGAGACTGGGCACTTTCTGCTTCTGTTGCGGTGTGCTAGGCCATTTCGAGAAGTTTTGTAAAAAGACCTACGAGGAGGTACTCGATCCGGCGACATTCCCGTATGGGGGTTGGATGCGAGCGGGATCCCGTAGACAAGCCCGTCCGGTTGGAGCGAGGTGGCTCGTAGCCGATCTTCCAAAGAATCCGGTGGCCACGGATACTCCGAATCCAGACAAAGAAAATCCAGGTGTGGACGAGACTGAGGAATGCAGTGGAATGCAAGGAGATCTTAAAAGACGTAGGGCAGGTGATAGTGCAGGTCATGATGTGGTTATGTTTGAAACACCAAAAACCTCAATTCCGGCGGGTCTGATGGATCAGGCTCGCCCTACACAATGAGTGTTTTGAGCTGGAACTGCCGAGGCTTGGGTGGCCCTCGGACGGTTCGGGAACTTTTGGGCATGGTGTCCAAGAAGCGACCCAGTTTCGTATTTTTGATGGAAACAAAATCTTGGTCTATTCGTTTAGAGAGTGTGCGTGTACGTTTGGGTTTTGACGGTTTATTGTGTGTAGACAGAGTGGGCATGGGAGGTGGATTGGCTCTTTTCTGGAAGGAAAAGGACATGGCCTCGTTACTGAGTTTTTCTGACAACCATATTGATGTCGAGGTGAGGCTACCAGGTATGGAGTTATGGAGACTAACGGGGTTCTACAGTTTCCCGGAACGCTCCAGAAGAAACCAGTCCTGGGACTTACTGAGGACACTGAATACCCGTTCATCTCTTCCTTGGGTAGTTATCGGTGATTTCAACGATCTAGCCAGTCACACGGAAAAGAGAGGTTCGATACCACATCCAGATAGTTTAATAAGGGGTTTTAATGAAGTTTTGCAGGAATGTGACTTGTCCGACCTGGGCATGTCGGGATACGTTTTTACTTGGGAAAAGGGCAGAGGTACAGAGCATTGGGTCGAAGAGAGACTCGATAGGGAAGTAGCATCAACAGCATGGTGCAACGCATACGTCGAAGCTTCGGTACAAAATATTCTTACTACGAATTCTTATCATAGCGCTATTCTTTTGCGTCTGGAGGATGTACCGGCTCGTAGAGGCAGGCGTTGTTTTAAATTTGAGTCCGCCTGGATTAAAGATACAGATTGTCGACGTATTATTGAACAATCCTGGGATTTCTCGCGCGACCTTGAATTCAGACAGCGAATTGAGCGTTGTGGCAACGATCTATGGAGATGGGGAGGTTCATATTTCAGAATGTTTGGCCATAAAATGCAACGACTACGTGATAGATTGGAGGTTCTAAAGGGTAGCAGAATGGACAGAGATATAATGGAATATGGGGAGGTGGAGCGCGAGTTACACAGACTTCAGTCTCAGGAGGAAGTCTACTGGAGACAGAGATCTAAACAATTATGGCTTAAGGAAGGCGATCACAACACAAAGTTCTTCCACAAAATAGCTTCTAGTCGACGCAAGAAGAACACCCTTCGCCGTATTAGAAGCGCGGACGGTCAATGGCTGGAAGATCACGACATGCATGCAGAAATCTTAAACTACTTCGAAAATATTTTCACAACATCTCATTGCACCCTTGACATCACTGATCGGGTTCCATGCAAGGTCACTGCCGAGATGAATGCAACACTGCTGCGGCTAATTGACAACGAAGAAGTGAAAATTTCCTTGTTCTCCATGGCCCCGGATAAAGCTCCGGGCCCTGACGGTATGTCTCCATCTTTTTATCAAAATTTCTGGTCCATTGTAGGGGAGGATCTCACAAGTTTTGTTAAAGATTGCATTCATAACTGTCACATGCCGGAAGGTCTTAACGAAGCCAATGTGGTTCTCATCCCGAAGAAGTCTTGCCCGGAATTTGTGACTGATCTGAGGCCCATTGCATTATGCAATGTAGCCTACAAAGTCCTGGCCAAAGTCATAGCTAACAGACTTAAAGACATTCTTGATACTGTGATTTCACCTTCTCAAAGTGCCTTCATCCCAGACAGATTAATTACGGACAATATTATTATTGCCGGGGAAATAGGCCATTATCTGAGGGGTAAGCGTAAGGGGAACGGGGGGTGGACAGCGCTAAAGCTAGACATGGCAAAAGCGTACGATCGAATGGAATGGGGATTTCTAGAAAGTATGATGCTAGCTATGGGGTTTGCCCGTGGGTGGGTTGATCTCGTGTTATTGTGTGTGAGTTCAGTTAAATATAATTTTGTAATAAATGGTGATGTCACAGGGGCGATAATACCCACTCGGGGTATCCGACAAGGTGACCCAATTTCCCCATATTTATTTATTCTTTGCGCGGAAGGGCTTTCATTACTCCTGCAACAGGAGGAAGCCCGAGGTAATATTCATGGCATCCGGGTGGCTAGATCAGCCCCGCCAGTATCGCATCTTTTTTTCGCCGATGATAGTATGCTCTTCTTCAGAGCAACTACGGGGGAAGCACGAAAAGTGCAGGATTGCCTAAACTTGTACAGCTGTGTTTCAGGTCAGGTGGTTAACTTTGACAAATCCAGTATAATGTTCAGTGCCAACACAGATCCAAATATACGAATGCTGGTGGCCGGAATTTTTGGTGTTCAACAAGTCGAGGACTTTGGAAGGTACTTAGGATTACCGTCTTTTTTGGGACGAAATAAAACTGTGCTATTTAAATTCATTGAGCAACGAATTCGTGACAGGATTAGTACATGGCAGAAGAAATTGTTGTCAAGGGCTGGGAAGGAAGTTCTTCTGAAAAGTATTGCGCAATCCATTCCGATTTTTGCCATGTCAGTATTCCTACTCCCAAGAGGCGTTTGTGAGTCGATTGAAAAATTAATGAACCAATTTTGGTGGAAGAATGGGACGGCCAATGGTCGGGGAATCCATTGGATGTCCTGGCTCCGGTTAGCGATCCCTAAGCAATTCGGGGGCATGGGATTCAAACGGCTCCACGAATTCAATTTAGCGCTCCTAGCCAAACAGGGATGGCGGATTATCACACGGCCTGAGTCGTTTTTGAGTCGTCTCCTAAAAGCAAAGTATTTTCCAAATACGGAATTCCTTAAAGCATCCACTGGAAACAATCCGAGCTATCTTTGGCGAAGCATCATCGCTAGTCAGGAGCTACTTAATGGGGGTTTGATCCGGCGCATCGGGGATGGTAAAAACACTCGGATTTGGGATCACAATTGGCTAGCTGACGCAAGCAATGGTCTGTTATCTACGCCATGCATTGAACCCCTCCGTAACGCTACGGTAAGCCAACTTATGACTAACGAGGGCGGTTGGGATCTGGAAATTCTTCGGGATCTTTTTCTGGACCAAGATGTGGAACGCATTCTCAACACTCCTATATCTATACAGTATGCAGATTCCTGGAGTTGGGCAAATGATATTAGGGGCCTCTATTCGTTCAAGCTTGGCTATCACACTTCGGCAGGTGTAGGCTCGTTACAGATTCCATCCCATGAATTCACGAAATGGAATATCTTGTGGCGTATTCCAGTTCCACCAAAAGTGATCAATTTGATTTGGCGTGGAATATGAGATATCCTTCCAGTGCGTGAGAATCTGAAGAGGAAAGGTGTATGGATTGGAGGCGGCTGTCCACTATGCAATACTGAAGCAGAAACGGTCGACCATCTGTTCGGGGACTGCATTGTTGCTCGACAGCTGGAGGGAGTGGATGATGTTCTCCAAGGCTTGACGTTCGCAGGCTATATGGAATCCAGACTAGGCATGCTGCCCCACACGTCTATGGTACACATTGCGGCACGCATATGGACGATTTGGAACACTCGCAACAACGTAATATGGCACAATAAGAGCTGGAATTTAGAGGGCCTTATGAGACAAACAACACAGCTTGTTTCTCTTTGGCTTGAGGTGCTTTCACCAGGGCATAATGGAGATCGCCGGTCAATTAATACTCCAGCAGTCTGGACACCACCACCGGAGGGGAGTCTGAAGTGTAATGTTGATGCAGCCGTTTCCGAGAGTGGTATCTTTTATGGGGCGGTGATCCGAAACCATTTGAGTCAGTTTGTGGCCGCCAGGAGTGGGAGGCTTCAAGGTACTCACGACCCCTACTGTGCAGAAGCGATGGCAATGAAAGAAGCTTTATCTTGGATTAGTTCTCGACCTCCAATGAATTATATTGTAGAGTCTGATTGCTTAAATCTTTGTAACAATCTTAATTCATCTAGTAGGGACTTGTCTTATGTAGGTTTGGTTATTCAACAATGCTGTGACATTGTTCGAGGCGTTGGGAATGTTATGATTCGCCACGTCAGAAGGCCAGCGAATCACGTGGCTCATGCGCTTGCGCAGGCTGCAGGTTCTTCTTCTGTCCTTGGGGTGTGGATTACTCACCCGCCTAGTTGTATTTCGAATTTGATTTAATGAAGTCTTTTGTCCAGTTTCAAAAAAAAAAACTAGATTAGCTTTATAACACTTGTTCAGTCTATGAAAATATTATAATTATTTATTCCTAATCTTGATACTATATATACCCCTAACTTCTTTGTAATGTTTTACTTATATATGAAAAATAGCAATTCTCTTTTCCTCTCATCCCACTGAGACATTACTGCCGTTCTACTTCGTTTTCTTAATATTAATATTATTATTATTTTTATTCAAAACAATTTTATAAATAGCAGGCCAAACAAGCAATTATTATTTCAACCACCATCTGCCCACTGCCGGACGTCTACTTGAATGGTATGGCTGATATATTTTTAGTGGATTAAATTATGGGAGCAAAATATATATGTTTAATTTCTACTATATATACCTTTCATACTCCTATCTTCATGTTCTTTAATTTATTGGCATATTCCTATAATCCTGCTTATGTTTGGACAAGCAAGTTCATTCATTTTTGGATTATGTTTTTTAATTTTGATTCATTTGTTATTTAATTTGAAGGTTATGGATTATGGCATCGGGAAGACATAAAATTAGTCAACTTCCGACGGACATACTTGACCACATTTTGAGATTGCTGCCAATTAAAATGCTGCTAAAACTGCTGTTTTATCCTCCATTTGGAGAGGTGCTTGGTCCAGTCTTACACAACTGAACTTTGATGATCACTTCTTTTGTCACATTGATAGCAACTATCACTTCTATAGGAAATATCACCGTGTTAAAAAATATAACAAGGAATATGCCCCAAGTTTGTATGTGATCAACAAAGTTCTCCTGCAACACAATGGAACTATTCGGAAATTAGTTCTTAACTTTTCTAATGTTGGGAAACTTACATATAGGTATCGGTCTTTTGACTTTGACCAATGGTTACTTTTAGTCACAAAGAAAGGTGTTGAAGAAATGTACATTGGCTTCGACGAAAAGGCATATAAGTTGCCATCTTGCATA